TGTGGAGAGGGAGGGGGGGGGGGGGGGGGGGAGAATAGGGAATAGGGTGATGAGAGAGGTGGGAAAATATTTTTAGGGCTTGGATTTGGGAAAGAAATGGGGGTGGAATGGGCAGAGCCGGTCCTGTGATTTATGGGCCCCGAGGCGAAGCGTGTAAAGTAGGCCCCCCAGCGAAAGCAATTTAAATATAAAATTCAACTGTGTATTATGCGATTCATTACTAACTTAAAAAACTAATATTAAAACAACAACTAAATATATTATAGAAATGATTTATATTATAAACCATCAAAACCAACAATGTTTCAAACAATTAGTTGAATACTATTCGTCTTGCCGTTTTAGAGGCAAAAACATCAATCAAATCTGAATAATTTAGCTGCCCAACCATTTCTTTTTCTATTGATAATATAGCTAACCTGTTTAATCTTTCTTGTAACATAGTTGATCGAAGATAGGTCTTAATCAACTTCAATTTTGAGAAACTTCTTTCCGCAGATGCAACTGTAACCGGTATGGTTAACAAAATTTTGTAAGCAATATAAGCATTTGGGTAAGAAATATTGTGAGTGTTCAAATATTGCATCAATTCAATTGCTCTTGTTGCTTCATTTGGTAATTAAATCTTCAAGACTTGTAACTCCGAACATAAATCATCTCCACTGATGTCCGAACGCCCATCATGTTCAAGATATTTCTCAAGATTCATACAAGAGTTCAACAAACTTGATAAAGTTGCATCCCTTAACCTTTTCAAATTAAACAAAAATCCAAATATGTCATCATATTGTTTGAATTGTTCAAATCGACTCCTCAGAGAAGATAGAACTTGATCAATTATAAAAACAAAGTACTCAACCCTAAAAGATTCTTCTACTAATTGCTTTACCTCATCACTACCGCTTTCATCAAAATGTTTTTTCCTTCGAATTATGCGTTTTTCTATAAATACAGCTTCAATTCCCATTTCATTTGCCTTTTTTGTTGCTTCATCCATAGCAATGGCAAATCCGATTTCTCTATAATCTTCAAAAAGTAAAACAAGTCCTTGCAATAGATCGATAGCATGATCAATATCCATGGATTCGGTTTGAAGAAATTTACTCACAATATTGACTGCATGCAACAACCTATACCAGATTACTATGCCAAGCAAGAACTCAAAATTCTGAAGTTCATGTGTTACTAACGACTCGGCTTCACTCTTCACTTTAGGATCTTCGTTAGATTCTGCCAAATCAAGTAAGACTTCTCTTATCTGTACAGTTTGCTCCATTATAGACTTCACACTCTCAACATGACTTTCCCAACGTGTTTGTAACAATGGCTTTACCGTCAACCCTTTTACATTATCTTTGAAAATTTTCCATCGCTTGGTAGAAGAGGAAAATAAAGTGTAGATTCGTTATATCACTCCAAAGAAGGATACATCTTTGGAACAACAATTCACCATATCACATAATGCTAGATTTAGACTATGAGCACTACATGGAGTATAGAAAGCTCGGGGATTCATTTCATGTACTCTTTTTTGTACACCTTTGTGCTTCCCGCTCATGTTAGATCCATTATCATACCCTTGCCCTCTAATGTCATCAATATCCAGATCAAGTTTGATCAAAACCTTTTGAAGCTCGGTTGCAAGTCCAAGTCCTGTTGTGTCATCTACCTTCAAAAATTCAAGCCAATGTTCCTCAACTGTAGGTAAGTTTGCTGAATCATCTACAAATCGTACTATTAAAGACATCTGCTCCTCACGACTTGCATCTGGAGTACAATCAAATATAATCGTGAAATATTTTGCATCTTTAACTTTCTTGACAATTGCATTTCTCACCTCATTAGCCAACAACTGTATCAACTCATTTTGTATTTTTTTGCCAAGATACGTGTATTGAATCTATCTTGCATTAGCCCGCCGAAGGTGCTCTTTCATTACTGGATCAAATTCATTAACTATTTCCATCATTTGTAAAAATAGGCCATTATTCTCAACATTTAGTCTTTCATCATCTCCTCGAAATGGCAAGGTATTTTTGGCGAGTCTTTTAACAATAGCGATTATCCTTGTTAATACATGCCTCCAATGTTCTCTTTCTGCATTGATCAACAATTCAACACTTTTATCAATTGTAGTTTTTGTTCGAAGCCTATTTCTAATTCAATCCAGCCAGTCATGCAACATAAATGATCTTCATTTCTTTCATGACTTTTAATAGACCGATGCAAATTATGCCAATCTTTGAATCCATCGTTACCTATTTGGCCAACTTTGGTCACATTTTTGGGTATTTTAAATAACTTGCAACAAAAGCAGAAGATCTTGTCCATAGATATTGAATATACTAGCCATTTTCTATCAATTGTTTACCCATTTCGTAGCAGTCGCTTATATTGTGAAGAATCGAACTGTCAATTTGTACAATCTTTTGGAAATGAGATGTTATCAACTATTTTTGGACCCCTTTCAACTAAGTAATCTCTTGTTTTTTGATCAATGATTTTCCAATTCTCGGGATCATCCAAATTTAGAGAAAAGGAACCCTCTTCTTCCTTATCATCTTCTTCATTATTAGAGGCGGGTTTCATCACTTCTTCTTCTTTATCATCTACTTCATTAACATAGTCAGGTTGACTCACTTTTTTATCCGTACTATCTACTTCTCACTTCTTTATCCGTACTATCTACTTCATTAACATGGGCAGGTTGAACCTCTACTTCATCCTCATTCAACGCATTCATATTGTTGCTTTTGAAGTACTTATTAATATCCCCTACTTGACTTTGAATCAATGCAATTTCATTTCGTTTCCTTTTCCTCTTTTGAGCACCAGACTCATATTTAGGAGGCATAGTGTATGAGTCTGTATCTAATGTCCAATGATTATTTTAAAAAATAATTACAAAATATCTCAATCATCACACAATTACAATTTTCAATACAATTACTATGTGTGCCTGTGCAATTGTTCATCCCACAATAACCAATCATATAAGCCGACCAGGCTGCAATTATATAAGCCGACCAGGTTTCAAACATTTTCAATCTCTTTAATAATAAGTTAGGGCAAGCCATTGCTTACCTGAGAAGTGAAATTTTGACGATAATTATGGAATTACACCGTTGAGTATGATCTCGTCACAACTCACAAGCCTAAAACCAAAATTTATATAAAATTATATATGATGTCTAAGATTGCCAAGCCTAAGATCTAGTGATGAGGGAATTAAGAATATTTAAGAGCAGCAAACCTTGATTTTATTATTCGGTTTTAGTTAGTTGTTCTCAATAATTAGTTAATATTTGACGTTTGAATACATAAGACTCTTATAACCATCACATTCAAAATTACAATCCTTACAAACTTGCTAAACAGTTAAGTTGTTTAATGAAATATGGTGGCAGAGCCACTTCGGGTTAAGCACCGTTTCTATCAACTAAAAATAATTTTGCAATATTAATGGAATATTGAGGGCCAAAATGTTCTATTTCAAAAGTTGGGGACTAACTCTCTATTTACATATATAAACTCAACCATGCAGCATATTACATTTAAAGATAATAAATAATGTTCATGCAATATATGTCAAAGAGTAAAAGGAATTGTAATCTAATGAATTGGAACCCATAAAAAGGGTCTTTTGATGAATGGATGGAATCATTTTGCATTATGATTCCTTTACAACATAATATTTTATCAAATTAGTAATTTAGAAAAAGTGATTATCCAACAACACATTACAGAGATAGTCTAACTGAAGGGCTAATGATTCTCCAATAACACAAATGATGATTATCCAATAACACAAACGAGACAAAAATCAAACAAAAATTGTAATCTTTCACCTTTACTTTAAACAAATCACTACATAGAAAATTGACAGGAAGGCAACCAAATAGATCATTCAATAAACCTTTACCTTGGAAGGACAAAAAGAACCAAAATGCACTCATTGTGGATACTTCAATCACACTATAGATAAGTGCTTTCACCTTATAGGATTTTTCCCTGGCTGGAGAGGATCTAAGGGATCAAAGACCTTGGTGGATAACCCTAATGCACATGCTGTAAGTGGAGACCAGTCAACAAAGGATGAGGGATCAAGTATTTCGTTTACTCAGAATCTCTATAAGCAATTCTCGGCATTTGCTAAAACCCAACAAATATTCCCTCAGTCATCTAGCTCAACAACCCAAACAGCAGCCACCATTACTACAGGTATCTCCCTTTGTAATTTAACCTTCCCCAAACCCAAACCTGTTACCTGGATGATTGATACTGGGGCCACAGACCATATGGTATGTTTACCCACATTCTTATCTTCTATTGATTCCACCACAATCACAAATGTTAATTTACCAAATAGATCCCCTGTTCCAGTTAGCCATATTGGAAAAGTGATCAATTTCGTTTTTCCTACTCTATTGGAAGGTATATGAATCAAAATATGAAAAGCATCAAAATGCATTTGTGTGAGGAATTCTATCAAACACAAGATTCGCAATAATTTCACCATAACAATCATTAAACTATATATAAATCCACAAAAAATAATACTAAAGTAAAAAAAATCTAGGAAATGAAATTAAACTTACCTACGTTAAACTATTTCATGTTATCAGTTTCAACCGACAACCAAGCACCGTCAAAATCCAAGGTTAGAAAATCAAAAGGAGAGATTATAGAAGTTCATGGAGGCCGGATTATTCGATTTCAATCCACCGGAGGTAAAGACAGGCATAGCAAAGACTGCAAAGTCTGCAATGGAAAATGAAGAAAGTAATTATTTTAACAAAGAAGCTGTAGATAACAATCCCATTTGTAGTTTGAGTTTATTTACAATGGAAAATGAAGCTGCACCATCATCTTCTACTGAGTTTCAGCATAAATTATCCTCTAGTTTACAGTCCATTGAGCACCCCAGTCACCTCCGTTGGATTTGCTCAAGATTTATCAAAAGTTATATGCACCACTTCGTGAACCAGAGGCCAAGATCCTAGCGAGTTGAACTTTGAAGCGTATTTTGAGTTAGGGCTTGGTTGGGGGCTTGGTTGGGGGCTATATATGATCTTGTTTTTCACATTTAAACTGGTCTTGTTCTTAATAAAAAAAAATAAATAAATAATTGGATCAAAACGAGGCCCCCTATGGTCCTGGGCCTGAGGCGCGGGCCTCACTCGCCTCAGCCCAGGACCGGCCCTGGGAATGGGCAGTGGATATTTAGGTTTAATTAAATTTTCATTAATTATAATTATTAAATCTAATTAACACTTGATTTGTGAAATAAAAATTAATCATTCTTATGCTTAAAAAATTAGTCTTTAAATATAGATTTATGGGTAATTTTCCATTTTTTAAGGCATAGTCAAACGTGCTCTTTTATTGCATTGATTGATTGGCCCAACCTCCACATGCAGAGAGACCTGGATGACCATCACATCACATTCCCAAACCAATTCTGGTGAAATTGATCATCTTTATTCTACTTCAACGATTACCCGAGTTTCATTATCACAAGAGAAATTCGTTACAATTTCTTCTCTCTGTCAATAAGAACCTCGATTAACCCCTTTTTTCAGTATCAGTCGATCAACAAATTCTGAGTTTCTGTAAAGTTCTCTATCCATTTTAGAAAAAAGAGCGATGGATCTTGATTTGTCACCTAAGTTGGCCAAGAAGGTGTACAGCGGAGACGGCGGCGCGTACTATGCATGGTGCCCAAATGAACTGCCGATGCTACGTGAAAGCAATATCGGCGCTGCAAAACTTGCTCTACAGAAAAATGGCTTGGCTATGCCTCGTTATTCTGATTCCGCCAAGGTTGCTTATGTCCTTCAAGGTAGTGTTGATTAATGGGCTCGATTTAATTTTGAGTAATTTTAGCTTTATCAAATTTTTGTCAATTGTGATTTTATTTGGTTTTGTTGATTTAATTTTGTTAAAATTCGTATTAAATTCTGTTTCTGGTTCAATTATTATGGATAATCTTTTATTGAATTTTTTAGTGAAATATACTTATAGGTCGAATACGAGACTTTATACTGATTCTAAGTTCTTATACTGATTCTGTTAATTGAAATACGCTAATGGGTTGAATACAGTTAAGTTCATTGATCATACAATTTTGCTGAACTTCGATATGTTTTTTGTTGGAATATAAAATCCACATCAGCAGAATATTCGAGCTTAACGGGATATTCACTTCCAGCTCAACCAAGTCCATGTCCGGCAGATCACTTCTTATTCCAGAATTTCCAGATTCTAGAGACTTCCTAGTTAGCTAGTTATTTTCTCTATAAATACTAGAGTTTGTACACATTTTAATTCATTGGATTGTAGACTAGTTTCTCTCCAATCCCGCCTTATGGAGGTTTCTTCTCCTCCAACAATGGAGTGACTTTTGTATGGAACTCAGTCCGGTTCCTTTGTATTTTGTTGTTCTCCTTTTATGGAGTATAATGCATTGTTTTCATTCAATGTTTCCAACATTTTTCTATTCTTATTATTGTAGCCTTTCTCTGTTATTCTTGATTAAGCATTGATGAGTACAACATTCAAGAAATTCAAAACAATTACAATAAGCAGCATATATTGACTGTATAGACCCCAGATGCAGACATGTGTCCTGGGACATTGGAGATCTGGTGGTTTCTGCAGGGGAAAATTGAGATGGAAAATTATAATCTGGAAAGATGACAAAAACATTTTCGTTTTTTGTCCTGTGAATTTATGATCTTCATTGGGCTGAAAGACTGGAATTGCTAGTTTGTTTATTGCCCCAGAAAACGAAGATAAGCGACTACATCTGCTGTCACAATCTGCACAAAATGGTTTAAATTTTAGGTCAGCTGCTATTGGTTTGTAATCTTGTTCTACGCACGTGATCTAATTTTTCAGACCAGTACAAAGACCTCGGGAATATTTACTAACAGCCTTTTTATTCAGTAAGTATATCTCATCTCTCACTTTTTCTTTTAATAATAGGTAGTGGAGTGGCTGGAATTGTTCTTCCAGAAAAAGAAGAAAAGGTGCTTGCAATAAAAAAGGGTGATGCCATTGCACTTCCTTTTGGTGTAGTCACCTGGTGGTACAACAATCAGGATGCTGAACTCGTCATCCTGTTCCTTGGTGATACCAAAACAGCCCACAAAGCTGGTTCATTTACCGACTTCTTTTTAACAGGGTCTAACGGCATCTTCACTGGATTCTCGACCGAGTTTGTTAGTAGGGCATGGGACTTGGAAGAGAGTGTTGTAAAAGCCCTTGTTGGACAGCAGTTGGGTAAAGGTATTGTGAAGGTTGACACAGACTTCAAAATGCCTGAGCCCAGGGCAGAGCACCGCAATGGAATGGCACTAAATTGTGAGGAAGCTCCATTGGATGTGGACATTAAGAATGGGGGAAAGGTTGTTGTTTTGAACACAAAGAATTTGCCATTGGTTGGTGAGGTTGGACTTGGGGCTGATCTTGTGAGGTTGAATGGAAGTGCTATGTGTTCTCCAGGCTTTTCTTGTGATTCTGCTTTGCAGGTCACTTACATTGTTAGGGGCAGTGGCCGTGCTCAGGTTGTTGGTGTTGATGGTAAACGTGTATTGGAAACAACGGTTAAAGCTGGGAATCTATTCATTGTTCCAAGGTTCTTTGTGGTTTCAAAGATTGCTGATCCTGATGGTTTAGAGTGGTTCTCTATCGTCACAACTCCCAAGTGTGTATTACTTCTTTTTAATGTTTTCTACTTCAATTTCTATTTATTTCTTTTGGTTCATCTATGTTTCCTCTGAATGTTTCTGATTGTCCTTGGCAGTCCTGTTTTCACTCATTTAGCTGGGAGGACTTCAGTCTGGAAGGCATTGTCCCCACAAGTGCTCCAGGCATCTTTCAATGTTTCTCCTGATGTAGAGCAGAAATTCAGCTCAAAGAGGAAGGCTGAAGAAATCTTTTTCCCACCACCAAATTGATTCAGGAATATGATTCATTTTGTTCGAGTTTTTAGTTTAATAAGCAGCATCAAGACTGAAGAGTTCGAAAATGCTTTCACAACTTCTGTTTGATAATGGTTTTCTGTGCCACATTCGTGATGCATCTTTAATGGTTTTCTTTCGCAATTTGCTTCATTGTTTTGATTGGATTCAGTATGACTCTTTAACACGACTCGCTTCCAGAACACGTCATTATTTACGTTTGGCAGATGATGCTACCCGTCACCTGCCACCATCTCCTTGTGCACCTGGGGATCGATGCCATCATCAATGGTGGGAACCCTCGGCCTGTGCCCCACCGACATGACCCACAAGTGGCCCTCTCTTACAATGGACAATTGGTTTGTCAGTTGTTCCAAGCCACCGCACGCAAAGCCATGGCCTCCGGCCAGAAACCCCGTCGATGCACTAGTTGTGCACTGGCTACTGGTTAGGCTGCCCCATCAACCGAAGTTCCTACACGCTGCCATCCATCGATTTGGTTGAATGGCGTCCTTGCCTCAAATTCCAAAGCCGTTAGTGTGAAGTGTCCGTAAAATTAAATTGCAGAAATAGATCCCATGGATTTTTTTGAATGGAACATGCTATATGTACCGAATATTTTTACCTAATCTAGAATACCATTATTTGCAAGTAGTGTTGCCCTACGCTGCTAGTTGGCGTGGGTGAATGTGCTCATATGGACCAAATTCCCGACCCGGTTGTACTCAACGGCAAGAGCGTAATTGCATCGTCAGCTTAGCTTAGATAACAAACGTTCAATGCCAACAATTGTCTAATGTCAAACGCATATAATTAATATCAAAACGTATGATTCAACATTATCCTAACGTCTAAACAACTAGTCAAGAATCCTAATATTACATGAACATGATATAATTTATAAACAATGTCGCCCAAAAAGTATAGATTGGAAAGAAAGATGAAAATAATCTTGAATTTTCAATTTTTTCTATGTTTATTGATCAATCTCTTAATATCTTCTTTTTCTTCTATTCCAGGCAATAACTATATGAAAAATATAAGAAAATATGCCTAACAAAATCTTCAAAGCCTTCAAAGGAATACAGAAATTTGATCTTCAATGGCTCTCTTAATTGTGAAGAATGTGTTTATAAGAGCCCTAAACTTCCTCCTTTTGTTAATAGATGAAAAACCATTTTTATAGGACAAGAATTAGGTCAAATTTTGGTGCCCTAATTACTTTCCAAAAAGAAGAGGACTAAAAATAGAAAACAAAATAATTTGCCACGTATAACCATGCTATCGCATGGTACAAATCCTTAGAAACGCATGGTTATAAGCCAAAATATTATGCTTATTGAAATTAGCTCCTTGCTATCGCAAAATATAAACTCGTAAGTGTAGGTTCGATTTGGTTTTTGTTGTTTTCAACTCCAACTCAAAACCAAAATCAAATTAGTCGGTTTGGTTTGGTTAGTCAATTTGGACTTTTAGTCCAAATTGAATTTTTAAAAAAAATTGCCCAAAATTTTGGCCCACTTAAATTACAAGAATTAAAATAACCAAATAATTTTATACTACAAGGCTATTGACTAACAAATAAAATCAGGTTAATAGAGACGGATAAAAAAAATTAAAAAATTTTGTTACTTTTTTATGTATTATGCAGTCCGAATGCATGAGCAGGGAAAAAATACTAAATATAACATAATGAGCTTATAAAAGGAAATTTCTAATGCTATTATTTAACGGTAACATCATAATTGGAGAGAATCGAGATATAGTTATGAGATTAGGGCTTATCTTTTGATTTTTATTTTTCCTAAATTAAAAAAATGTAAGTGAGTTGGGTTATTTGGTTAATCAATGATTTGAGACTTCAAACCATGATCGAATCGACCACTATGATCTTGTTTAAAAGAAAACCAAACTAGACCAATTACAAGTGTCGAACCGATCGAGTCAGTTTGGTTTGATTGGTTTAGTCTATTTTTTTATTTTTTTGTCCAGGCCTACTCATATGTCCACAAGAGCTTTTTTTTTTTTTTTTTTCTTTCAGATTAATTCAAATTGGTCCCTTATTCAACATTTTTCATGCGGACTTGGTACATTCTTCCATTTTTCATCTAAATTTGGTCCTTTTTTTCCTATACTTAGTGGGATGGTGCTCATTTGTACAAAGAAAAAAAAATCTATTCTTTTGAAGCCACTCAGATTCATGTGTACGGAAAATGACATTGTTATAATTTTTGAATGGCCTGACTAGACCTTCTATAAAAATACCCTTCCCATTTAGGACCAATTGTGAAAAGTCAACCTAGCTATCTACATTATTCATTAGTTCCTTTAGAAGGGAGGAACTGAATCAGTAGATTTCTGGTCAATCTTCTATCTAAAAAAGTTGATCACTGCAAATTCTGAGACAATAACATAATATAGTATTTCGATTATCATAAATAAATAAAATAAAGATCGAATTAGAACCTTTATCAAGACTATTGATTGGATGTTTTAATTTAAAAATACCGAATGATTTCGAGTAATAGCTCATTAGATGACATGCAGTGCATTGCAAAAATCACGCCGTTCAATGCGAAACTTATATGCAATTTTATTGACATACAATATAAAACTTATTTTTCTCCACCGTTAACTAATCAGAGGTGTACCGAGCTTCACAAATATGTCTTTATTATCGATATTATAGGACAAACGAGGTGCAGTTTGTTGGAAATGAGCATCTTGTGGCGAGAAAATCACAATTATTCTTTATAGGTCAGAGCTTGAGATGTGGGCCAAGGAAGATGGCTTCTAAATAATCTAACTTACTTGTCCGTCTTGTATGTGGATAAAATCGGGAAATGTTGTCTTTCGTCTCGTCAATTTGAATAATGCGCAATTAAAAGACTCCCAGATGAAGAGGAGGGTTACAATCGGACCGCTTAAATTCCAAACTCTTCTTAGATAGTTTAGGTCTTTTTGACAAAACCTTTCAATTTCGCAACTATGCAAATCAACAAAATTCAAACAACCGTATATCGAATTTTCACCAGATCATTGAAAGTTTTATTTCCAACAAATAACTTTTGTTCCAATAGAATTTAAAATTTATGAAGCATACGAACATTACATCATAAATTCATGAAGTATGGACTGTAAATTTAATACGAAAAATTGCATGAATTAAACAACTGAAACATAGAATTTTAACTCGAGGCCTGTGTTACACACAGTTTCTTTAAAACAGATTCACCCCCTCACCGTCCGTATTTGAGGTTTAATACGAGCGTCCGTTTCCCAGGATACAACGGTAAAATCAGTAACTTCTGAGCACCGCAGAAACCACTCCGGCGAACTGAACTAGTGCCCGAACTACACCACCACCAAGAGAGAACTCTATGCAAATGAATTTCTAGTATATTCTAAACTTGAAAGCTTTTGTTTTTTTTTTTTTTTTTTGTGTTGAAATGAGAAAAATGAGCCACTATTTGTAGGCTAGGCTACCATTAAGGGCAATGACCTTTGGAGTTCCTCATCTTTTTCCTATGTGGGACAAATTCATTTTTTCCACATAAACTCCCTTTTGAGTGGCACACTTTGAGCCTCAATTTCTCATTCACCCGAGCATCAACTTTGGTAAGTAACTATATGATTTCGATGTACTCACGGAGGAGAACACAAATCAGCTTTCATCTTCCAAATTGAACAATCGGGTCGCACTCAAAACTCGTGCCAAAGTCGGCCAATTTTTCCAACATTAATTTACTCTGAAAATCATAAAAGCAAAAGCAATTAAATTTTTATTGAAAATAATGAAAATCATTGACTTATTTAGGAATATAACTTGTAGAAAACTTTTGCACTAAAGAAAAACACAATAAAACTAATTGTCAACTTTAATTTCTAAAAGAAGTCGATGTTTAAATGTATTAGTACTGAGTCTATCACACCACAAGTAGTCGTCTTGAATCATCATGCCGTCATCATCTGAAAATGGGGAGGATAACGTGGAGTGACCTAACTCTCAATAAGCAAACCTCATGCATATGGTACATGCTTATGATATGCATAGTACTTAAAAATAAAAGTGTTCCTCAATATGTATTCCCTTTTTTTCATTTCTTTAAGACCTTAACACTGATGCCGTGATCTCACTTGGTGTATTGTATAGCCAATCAAAATGCAGTGGGAATTATTACTTGAAACCAAGTCGACTCCTACCATTGGTTCCACAAAGCAGTAAATATTAACATTATCATTGAACATTTCCCACGCCCATTTTTCAGTGATACCTTTCACACTTTTCATGGCATAAGCTTACAACTTTCTCACTCACACCTTTCATAGCATAGACTTACACCTTATAACAACATTCAGGATATATATTTCTAAAAACATTTCTTGACTCACTAACATTTGGAAACTTTTATTTCTTGAAATTTCATGTATGCTTATGGATGCATTCACGTGTATAAATATGTAATGACAAGCATTAATGACATAAAATATAATAATCAAATATCGTGTTAACATAATGGTAGATAAGATAACACATTAATACATTTAACCATATGACATACGTGTGAAAATAGGTGAGGTTTACTTACTTGGAATGCTTAACAATATAATTTTTAAATAACAAGTAGAAATGTCCCTAGCTGCCCATAAGATCAACACGTCAAGGATCCTAAACCATTACGACTTATTTAGGAATTCCAACATTCTCAATTCTTTGTTTATCAATATGAATTTTGTAGCTAGGAAGAAACATCAACGTGTATAAATTTAGTGGTGTACAAGAGTAACTATATGAATTAACTATAGTTAAAACCTTCAAGGTCGACACTTGATTTCCATTCTCACTTTCTGGTGACACATAAATCATGAATGCATATATTTTATTGATGAAGTAAACAATACTAATAGATCCTAGGAATTAAGGTGAACACAAATGCTATATAAAAGCCAATTTTCCATAGAATTGATTTTGAACCATTTATAATTTAAGGTACTGTATTCACACTGTACAAATGTTCAAATCCTCTTTTAGAAACAATCTTGCAAAAGAAAAGTCAAAGAGCCATTTTTATTAATTAATTATTACATTCTATTAGCACATGAATTATGACAATTACTTATTTATTAGAATCCAATTCCATTCCATTTAACTCACTAAGTAACAACATATA